GATCTTTATGCAGTTAATATATTTTGTTCTTTAACTTTTAGCTAGCTAGAATAAGAGTTGAAACATTTTTTTTTTTTTTTGGTTTTCTGGATCTGAAACTACTATCGATTTAAAAAAAAAATTAGTTGATTGAATTCGATTTTGGTTTGTTTCGGCGTTAATTCGAGTATTCAAACAAACCACACAAAGATCAACCAATATATAAGTATAATGTTTTAAAAAAGAATATTCTAGTTTAATAAAAAAGAATATTCTAGTTTAATAGAATGATGATCAATTACTATTAGATATAGTTTCAAGAATTGTTTATTTACAAATTAATTCGTAATAAAAACCATTTGGTTGATTTAAATTAGCACAGTACTGATCCGGTTTGGTATATTTAACCAATCGGTTTACAATTTTTTTAAAGGATTACAATTATAATTCGATTAAAGTGATCGATCACCCTAATTAAAGTTTATTCTCTTTTTTTTTTTCAATTAAAATCTTCAGCTAGATGCAATGGTGATGACGGTACCGTGGCCGTCGATTTCTACCATCGTTACAAGGTATATGTTGCGTAAATATACAACACATTTTAACGAGATCATTACTTGCATATAATCATTCATTGATTACTGATTCCATTCCTGAAAATGTTTGCAGGAAGATATCCAATTAATGAAACGATTGAACTCTGATGCTTTCAGACTCTCTATTGCATGGCCAAGAATATTCCCTCGTGAGTTTACATGAATCTATAATGGATAACATTTATAAAAATTTGTTCAAAAAAAATAATAATAATAACATTTATACAATTCAAAATTGGTACATCAATATTTTATATGACTTTGGAAATATTCAAAGGAAACAATAAAAATATTTATGATCAGATGGAAGAAAGGAAAAGGGAGTGAGCAAGGCTGGTGTTCAGTTTTATCACGACCTCATTGATGAGCTCATTAAAAATGGTAAACTATATATATTTTTCTAATAAACTTACTTATATACGATTTTACAAGGATACATTCTTATCCAACACATGTGTTTTTGTTGTTTAGGCATAACACCACTCGTTACTGTTTTTCACTGGGATACTCCACAAGACTTAGAAGACGAATACAACGGATTTTTAAGCGAACGTATAGTGTAAGTTATATGAAAATATAGTTTATTGATCATCGCTATATATATCGAAACCAGAAATCGAATAACCATTAGATAGACTATTTTAAACCATATGACAACTTTTCTATATCAAATATCCGTTATGCAACAAACGCAGGAAGGATTTCACGGAATATTCGGAATTTGTATTTAACGAATACGGCGGAAAAGTTAAGCAGTGGATCACTTTCAACGAGCCATGGGTTTTTAGCCGTGCTGGTTATGATATAGGCAAGAAAGCTCCTGGACGATGTTCTAAATATGTCAACGAAAAGTGTCATGATGGACGGTCTGGATACGAAGCTTACCTAGTTAGCCATAACTTGCTTTTGTGTCATGCCGAAGCTGTTCAAGTTTTCAGAAATAAATGCGAAAAGGTATATGAATATTTATGTACATAGTTCAAGTATGTGAAGGTATTTTCAGTTTTCTATTTTAAAAAGTTTTAGGATTTGATTGGTAACTTCTACGGTAAAAAAAACACTCACAAAAATGGTAAGAATTAGCCGTATCGATGCGGTACTGTCATTGATTTGTACTACTATCTCTTACAGTTTCCACGACTTCTAACTATTCCGGCTATATTTACAACATTTTGTTATTGTTTGTGAATTACAGTGCAAAGATGGGAAGATTGGGATCGCTCATAGTCCGGCTTGGTTCGAGCCACATGATCTTGCCGACGCACAAGACGGAGCTTCCGTTGGCCGGGTTCTTGACTTTATTATGGGCTGGTAATAAATCTCTCCATATTAATGCTATGGTTATATATATATAGATATACACGAAATTAGACGAATGTTGTTTACGTTCGCAGCTTTCAATTCATATGTTAAAAATATAAGTTTGATTATTTTAAAGTATTTGCATCCAGTAGGAAAAAGTTGAGTGGTTTAACAAAATGTTAATACCTTGCTCTATGGCCATTTACTTAATTTTCCTTCCATTTTTTTTGTCATTTAACTAATTACCTCTTTTTTTATTTAGGCATTTGGATACAACGATGTTTGGAGACTATCCTCAAAAAATGAAAGATATTGTCGGACACAGATTACCTAAATTTACCGACGATCAAAAAAGAAAACTGAAAAACTCAGCTGATTTTGTCGGAATCAATTATTATTCTTCATTTTTCTCAAACCACAAAGAGGTAATAAATCCTGCACAGCCGAGTTGGCAACAAGATTCTCTTACCGATTTCGAACGTAAGATTTGTTTTGTTTTTCTAATGATTTATACAAAAATGCTGATTTTTTTTTCCTAATAGTATTGTTTTCTCAAAACGTTAAGACTTAAGACTATGGTTTAACACCTATATATGGACCTCATTTTATTTTTTTCAGCTAAGAGTTCACAAGGTCTCATAATTGGTAGCAAGGTATGCACTTTACAGTAATGATATAAAGTTTATAGTATAACTTAATTTAACATTTCCGATAAATTTATTTATTCATATCTTTTTGGGGGTATTTTCAGCCTTTGACCGCTGCAATGGCCGTTTACTCGAGAGGCCTTAGAAGCGTTCTGAATTATGTCAAAGATAAATACAACAACCCTGAAATCATTATAGCTGAAAATGGTAATTTGGTTTGATTTTTTTTTACATAAAAAAGTATATATTAACTTTTAATTTTGTAAATCTCTTTCATATATTATAATTAATTGATTATTTCCTTTTAGGATATGGAGAAGAACTTAAGGAAAAAGATTCTGTTGAAGTTGGAATTGCTGATCATAACAGAAAATACTATCTTCAGAGGCATCTATTGAGTCTCCAGGAAGCTATTTGGTAAAATTCATATGCATTTCTGACATTGATTTGCTCAAAAACAAAAATTATTGTTTAATTTAAACTTTTAGTTGAATCAATTGATCTAACATAAACTTTTGCGCCCAGTAAGGATGGAGTGAACGTTACAGGATATTTCGTATGGTCGTTGGTGGACAACTTTGAGTGGCAAGATGGTTACAAAAACAGATTCGGACTTTATTATATCGATTTCAAAAACAATTTGACGCGTCATGAGAAAGAATCGGCTAAGTGGTATTCAAATTTTCTCAAGAAAGAGATTGATCCATCCAAAGTTAATGAAGAGCTGTGAGTCCGAGTCAGAGTCTGATATATCGAGTTTAGAAGCAAAAATCTCGAATAATTGGAATTTTTGTATGATTTTGCTTCAGTGTTTTTTTTGTATGATTTTGCTTCAGTGTTTGTAGTTTGTTGAGTGTCTGTGAGATCGATAAGATTTGCGATCATCTTTAATAATAATAACTATTGTTATATTGTTTCTCTAATTTGTTGTGAGTTTGCCGACGGAGAACCACAAATTGTGAAATGTTAGAAAGCTAGAGAAAACCTTTTTTAATATTATTATTAATTGTGTGAATGAATGTTTAGAAACCTAAATACCTTTTGTATAAATCCCAAATAAATAGATGCTTGAGAAACGAAAATTTCAAAAATGTGTGGAAGTAATATATAACCATGATTTTTCGTTAATGGTAAAATAAAATAAAATGCGAACTTAACTAGTAAGACAAATCAACGTTAGTTGTGGGAGATTCATAGATCGTCGGATCCCGAGTGCATTGCGGAAGATCCGATGGTGGAGGTAGCATGGTCGTTTCCGGAGTCGGCCCATTTTGAACTATGAAAGCCATAATAACTCCGTATGGTAAATGTGCATCCATGTGACAGTGGAACATCCATACACCTGCCAAAAAAAAAAAATTATATATATATATATAAAAAACAAAAATTTCAAATTAACCCATGACTGTTTGGTATGTAGTTGGTGTAGATGTGAATCAAATCAAAATATACTAACCAGGGTTATTAGCAATAAATCTGAGGACAACATATCCACCCGGTGGTACACCGATGGTATTACGCATTTGGGGGTTAACTAAATTTAGCTTTCTTGCATCGTGGATCGGATCATAGTTACCAAATCCATAACCCACTACATAGAAATTGAAGCCGTGAAGGTGCATAGGGTGGCTCTCAGTGGTGACTATCCCTGTGTTTTGCACAACAATCTCGACTGTTGAATTAAATTTAAGTGTCTTTGTGCTAGTCTTTCTCTCTGGAAACATCATCTTGAAGTCAGAATCGGTACGGACTTCAAAATTTGTGTAATCAAATTTGAGGGGCGGTTGGTTGGGAAAATCATCGGTGTATACTCCAGAAATGTTGTAGAAATAAGCTTCTTGCAAAGAAAGTCTTTCTGGAAGCACAAAAGTGTAATTATTGAGAGAACCAGCATACCTTTGACCTAACGGTCCAATACACTTGGTTTTCGGTGGACATGGGTCTAAACCAAGCCCCATCGTTACAAACATCTTCTCGTCCACGTGACGAGGCACTGGCTTCCAATGAGGTCCACCCACAAGCCCAGTGATGTTCGAGGAGAACCTATGAGCGGTGGGTATGTCGTTCATATAAGGCATCAAAGGCAACACGGAAGATGATGTGGCACCCTCGTAGACGATTAAGCCTCTGATAGGGTTGCTAGGAGGAGTTGGTACCCCATGGGCACTAGTGTAAGGGCTGATGGCCATGTAATACATTCCCATGGGCTGGTCCGCGGTTAAAAGCGCGTCCACGGTTTGTCCCGGTGTTAAGACCATCACATCGGTGACGTAAGGCTTTGTGTAGGCAGCATCTAGAGCAACAACTGTCATGTTGTGATTGGCTATTTTGAAGAAGAGGTGAGTGTTGAGTGCCGCGTTTATAATCCTTAGCAAATATGTTTTGCCTTGTACTACCTTTAGGTTAAACATTCCTAACGAAGCCAAAAAATGTGTGTCAATGAATAAGGAGATATCTTAGTAAAAAGAAGATAAAATTTAAATTTTGATTGAAGCAAAGAACGAGTATTACTGTTCTTAGAGCAAGGATATGAATCTCCGGCGAGACCATTGATGAGATAAGCATCAGAAATTGGAGCTGGCCGTACATTGAGAATTCCAACATCTACGTCCCACCATTGTTCTTGCATAATCATTTAGTTTTACAAACAAGTTAATTAACAATTTGAATCGTCATTCTCCGAGAAAAAGGCAATAATGCTTACCAAAAATGAGAGGAACTTCTTTGTAGGGTTTAGGAAAAGGGTAAGGACGACCAGACCGGGGTCGGATAATTAGAGCACCGTGAAGTGTGGCTCGTAGATTAACAACGTGTGCGTGCCATAACAATGTACCTTCTTGTCCGGTGATATCGAATCGATACGTAAATTTATTAGTTGGTTGAATTGGACATTGAGTTATCATATTCGCACCGTCCATCCATGTGCTCTTCAGCTGAAACACTCCATGCCTATATATGTGAAATCAAGAAATATAATTTTTCTTAAACACAAAAG